GATAAAAATTGTGACCTCTATAGGGTCCACAACCTTATACCATATTTTTACGCTATTTGAGAACGAAGGGCGGCCATTTTGTCTGTCAATTTCGGGCTGATTTTCACGAAATTCAAACTCAGCCGTCCTTAGGGTTTAACGGTGATATAATAATACATTTTTTTAAATCAGATAAAAATTAAGATCCTCTATAGGGTCCACAAGCCAGAAAACGCGTTTTAGCGTACAATCAGGGGCAATAATTCAGGAAGTTTTGGTTCGATATGCGCGAATATCAAAAGGAACCGAGATCTTTGGGTTATAAACTTACATTACAAGTTTCAACAAAATCGGATAAAAATTGTGACCTCTATAGGGTCCACAACCTTGATATACCATATTTTTACGCTATTTGAGAACGAACGGCGGCCATTTTGTCTGTCAGTTTTGGGCCGATTTTCACGAAATTCAAACTCAATCGTTCTTAGGGTTTAACAGTGATATAATTATAGGTTTTTTTAAATTGGATAAAAATTATTACCTCTATAGGGTCCACAAGCCAAAAAACATGTTTTTGCGTACAATCAGGGGCCATAATTCAGGAAGTTACGGTCCAATATGCGCGAATATCGAAAGGAACCAAGATCTTTGGGTTATAAATTTACATTTCAAGTTTCAACAAAATCGGATAAAAATTGTGACCTCTACAGTGTTCACAAGCCAAAAACGTGATTTTTCGTACAATCAGGGGCCATAATCCATGAAGTTATGGTCCGATAGATGCCAATATCGAAAGGAACCGAGATCTTAGGGTGATAAACCTATATTTCAAGTTTCATTGAAATCGGATAAAAATTGTGACCTGTAGACTGTTCACAAACAATTGTGGACGGACGGACAGGGGTGACGACAATATACGTCCACATGAACCAGTTCTAACATAAGAAATAAAATCGTTGTCAACTAACTTGCAAAAGTATGAAAATTCTTGTCGAAAGTTACCAAAAACTTCAGTTTTGATTGGGATACATCGCCAATATTGTTATTCAAAGGGTCAATATATCAACTCCAGCTCCCCTTCAACCTGCTTTGCCAAAATATTCAGTCTCGGTGTTGTTTGGTATCGGCTACAAATCCAAGATGGCGTCTCCCAGTGAATATGGATTTTCGCAAATTCTCAATCTAGAATGTCGATCCTGATTATTTAAACATTTTTTTTCTATGAAAAATGAGAAATTTCAATTCAAAATTTTGAAAAACAGTTGAGTTAGAGCAGATGAAAGTCGACAATTATGCAAAACAGACCCAATTTCCATGAAAATCACCTATTTAGCCTTCACCGTGACCTTCAATCGCGAGGTCATCAGGGATACCATTTGAAGTTCACATCGACAAACCATATCTCATTCGAAAATATTGAAAAACAATTGAGTTAGAGTTGGGATTTCAAAAATTTTCTTGTCCGACATTTTACCGAAAATAAAGGGGTATAACTCTTATCGTTATTTAAGCAGACGGATTCATACCACAATTAAAGATAGGTTGCCAGGCAACAAAACATACGCCCACAGCAGCTAAATCGTCCGAGCGGTCGACAAGGGTTGTCGCATATTTATTCCTTTGTAGGTAATTGGGGGCCTTTACAAGACAGTTCCATACAGATCAGATTATAAATTTTGTCGTTTGATGGTTTACAAGGTTCTACAAACTGAAACAAGGTCTCAACTCTGGAAGTAATCTACAGAAATTGTTGAAATTTGACACGCTTTTTTGTTTTACTAATTTAAATAATGCATATAAATTTCATACGGGTCACATGATCACTTTTGTCATTGAAACGTTCACAATCTCCATAACTCTAGAAATATTGACAGAAATTGCTGAAATTCAATAGACCTGTTTCACAAATTTAAATGATGCATAGAAATTTCATACATATCGGATGATAACTGTTGTCATTAGAGTGTTCACAAGATTTAACAAAGTGAAACAAGGGCAATAACTCTAGAAGTAATTATTGTAAATTGCTTAAATACTATAGGCTTTTTCGTTTCACTAATTTAAATTATGCATATAAATTTCATACATATCGGATGATAACTGTTGTCATTAGAGTGTTCACAAGATTTAACAAAGTGAAACAAGGGCAATAACTCTAGAAGTAATTATTTTAAATTGCTGAAATACTATAGGCTTTTTCGTTTCACTAATTTAAATCATGCCTATAAATTTCACAAAGATCGGGTGGTAACTTTTGGTGTTAGAGCATTCACAAGGATCAATAAAGTGAAACAAGGGCCATAACTCTAGACATAATAAACGGAAATTGGTGAAATTCAATAGGCTTCTTCGTCTCACTAATTTAAATAATGCATATAATTTTCAGAAAGATCGAATGATAACTTTTGACGTTAGAGCGTTCACAAGGACCAATAAAGTGAAACAAGGGCCATAACTCTAGACATAATAAACGGAAATTGCTGAAATTCAATAGGCTTCTTTGTTTCAATAATCTAAATAATGCATATAAATATCAGAAAGATTGGATAATAACTTTTGACGTTAGAGCGTTCACAAGGACCAATAAAGTGAAACAAGGGCCATAACTCTAGACATAATAAACAGTTATTGCTGAAATTCAATAGGCTTCTTCGTTTCAATAATCTAAATAATGCATATAAATATCAGAAGGATCAGATGATAACTTTTGACGTTAGAGCGTTCACAAGGTTCAATAATGTGAAACAAGGGCCATAACTCTAGATGTAGTAAACAGAAATTGCTGAAATTCAATAGCCTTCTTCGTTTCACTAATTTAAATAATGCATATGAATTTCAGAAAGATCGGATGATAACTTTTGGAGTTAGAGCGTTCACAAGGTTCAATAAAGTGAAACAAGGGCCATAACTCTAGACGTAATAAACAGAAATTATTGAAATTCAATAGGCTTCTTCGTTTCGCTAATGTAAACAACATACATCATTTTAAAACAATTGGATGATAACTTTTGGCGTAAGAGCGTTCACAAGAAATTATGGACGATGGACGGACGGACCGACCGACAGATGGACGGGCGACGGCAATATACGTCCACATTTCAATGTGGGCGTATAAAAATCATGTGTCAACAATATATTCAAATCCGCACGTAATAAAAATAGGAACACCTCGCTTTTTTGAACGCCCACATTCTCGTGTGGATGTATATTGTCGTCGCCCCTGTCCGCCCGTCCGTCAACAATTTGTTTATGGGCACTCTACAGGTCACAATTTTTATCCTTTTTCAACAAAACTTGAAATATAGGTTTATGTCCCTAAGAATTCGGCTCCTGTCGATATTGGTATGTATCGGACCGTAACTTCATGGACTATGGCCCCTGAACTTATGAAAAATCACGTTTTTAGCTTGTGGACACTGCACATGGAAGTTACAATTTTGATCTGATTTTGATGAAACTTAAAAGTTACATTTATAACCCAATGAACTCAGTTCCTTTCGATATTCTCACATATCAGATCTTAACATCCTGGATTATGGCCCATGATTGTACAAAAAGTCGCGTTTTTAGCTTGTAGCCCCTCTAGAGGTCACAATTTTTTTTTCGATTTTTAAAAACGCTAATGATGGCGGAGTTCGAATTTAGTGAAAATCGGATCGTAACTGCCGCTCCTCGTACGCAAAAAGTGCAAAAGTATGTAATTCCAAGGTTGTGGACACCCTCGAGGTCACAATTTATATCTGATTTTCATGGGACTTAAAATAATTATGTTTAGATCCCAAAGATCTCTGTCCCTGTCGATATTCGCACATATTGGACCGTAACTTTGTGGAATATGACCCCCGATTTTAAAAAAAATCGCGTTTTTAGAAAATTCTTCTTGAGGTCACAATTTTTATCCGATTTTAAAAACCGTTTCAATATATCACCGTTACGCCATAATGACAACTAAGTTCGAATTTCATGAAAATTGGAGCGAAACCGGCGGACAAAATGGCCGCTCCTCATAAGCAAATAGTGTAAAAGTATGTAATTCCAAGATTGTGGACACTCTAGAAACACAATTTTTATCCGATTGTGATGAAACTTAAAATGTATGTTTATATCCCAAAGATCTCGGTTCCTTTCGATATACGCGCATATCACATCGTAGCTTCCTGAATTATGACCCTGAATATACAAAAAACACGTTTTGATCTTGTAGTCCCTCTTAATGTCACAATCTTTAGTTGACTTGATGAAACTTTTATATTATATACTTTTATATCCCAAAAATCTTGGTTCCTTTTGATATTGTCGCATGTCGGACTGTAACATACTGGATGATGGCCCTTGGTTGTACGAAAAATCACTTTTTATTTAGCTTGTTCTCAGCCTATCTTTTGCAAAATGTGGTTGTATCTTGCATGGCAACCGCTTATTCATATTTAATTCCCGTATGGTATTCAAATTTATGTCAGTAATATTCCTACAAAATTACGTGTTTTCGTAATACAATAGAATGAAATTTGCCGATCCGCGCTCGTTTCAATCAAATTCACGGAAGTAATATCCCCCAAAATTAAGAGTCTTTGTTTATTTGTCAGCAAATGAAGAAATGCGTCCGAAATAAGAATTATTTTTGGTGATGTCAAATCATTTTCGTAAAATGGTATTTTAAAATTACATTGATAGTTAAATTACTTGTTAAAGGCATACATAACTTCGGCGTATGGCGTACGTGACCGTTAACATATAACACATACAGTTTGTTTCATAGTAAGCACTGCTGGTTGTGATGCTGTGGTAACTTTGCTGTTTGACCCCGGGTATCATTTTACCCTTATAATGATCAGTCTGTGCCTTACTTAGTCTAACGATCATTTGGAATAAATCGATGAATGTGAACTTCATTTCATTTTGTCATTTGTTTCTTCGTCAGTTTCATTAGGTGACTTTAATAACACTTAAAAATCAAATATCCCCTACTTTTTTTGAATAGTATATATTAATTTTGAAATTCTTAATATTATTCATCTTACCTTGATGTCCGATTGGGCATATTCCTGGCCGGACATTTGGAAAATCATATCTTTTGGTAGATGTTTTCTTCTGCTTCTGGATTGGTAGATGTCTTCGTTGTGGGATTAGTCTTTAGGTGCCAGGCCCGTCTTATCGTGACCTCCCCTTACTCCACAATCTCACTCTATGGGTTTGGTATCTGTTTCTTTTGCGGAATAGTGTTTAGGTCCCGAGTCCATCTGACCGTAACTCCCCTTACTCCACTATCCTGCTAGTTTGGTAGATGTCATCTCTGTGCGATTTGTGTTTAGGTGCCAGGCCCGTCTTATCCGTGACCTCCCCTTACTCCCCTATCCCACTCTGTAGGTTTGATGTCTATTTTTTGCTGGAATAGTGTTTAGATGCCAAGTCTGTCTGATCGTGACTCTCCCTTACTCCACTACATGTATCCTGCCAGTTTAGTATAAATCCCCTATGTAGTTTAGTGTTTAGATGCCGAGCCCGTCTAACCGTGGCCCCATTAGGGCGTGGATTTGTTTGAAGATTTGCAGTTTCAGATCTGGTCTCGGGAAGAGTAAGTTCTTAGTGTTGAATGGTATGTTGTTAGTCTCCATCATTCTCACTAGTTCCCTTCTCTCCTCCTTGTATACCTCGCAGTTTACCAGGACATGGTTGGTGGTACATTCTTCTCCGCACTTACAGTCGATGACTTGGTGTTTGCAGTCTCGCAAACACTCTTTCATCCTTAGTTTCGATATAAGTCTGCATATATCTCTTTTAGGGTGATTGATCGCTGTCTTCGTGTAGATTTTGTCATCAGTCGGAATCTGTATGTGTCAAGTTCAACGAGTTTTAAGAGCGTGTCCGCGAGAAAACCATGCAGAAGGTGCTAACGCTTCAATCACAGATTTTGACCAAATTTGGTTTATAAGTTGGGATAGTCCCAAAACACATAAATTTGCAATATCAGATAAATTTTTCAATTCTTGACTGAGAAAATTGAAAAAACATTTTTCCTACAATGGCTGCTGTTGATTTAAATGTAGATAATGATGTTGGTGTACTTGTGACTGAATTAGATAAATTATTTGAAAAGGACAAAATTGATATGGCCTACAGTGCATATTGTGACTTTGATAAATTTAATAGGAAAGACATGTTGATGTCTGATTACATTGTTGAATTTGAGCAAAATATAATTGTATTAAGAAATATGATATGACTCTTCCAGAAGCTGTGTTAGCTTTCAAACTGTTAGATAATGCAAATCTGTCAGTTAATGAACGTCAGTTAGCACTGACTGCCTGTAATGATATTAAATATGACAACATGAAATCAGCTTTAAGTCGAATATTTAGTCAAACTGGATGTAGTGAATCAAAAATCGGTGATGTTGATACAAACGTTAGCCAGGAACAAGCGCTTGATACTAGGACTGTAACCAACAGACACAGTGGACGCAACACATTTAATCATCTAAATGTAGATCAGCGTGGTGATCGTTTAGGACAAGCTAATAATTTTCGTAGATGTAGACTCTGTGACTCAAGATATCATTGGTATAAGAATTGTCCAAGTAGACATTCTGGTAGTGTTAACATGTGTACTAATGATGAAGCCAACGTACATTTAACCCTTTTAACTTCCGAGTATACTGCAAGTGAAATATTGACAATGGAGGCATTCAATGCTGCAGTCATTGATACTGCCTGTACAAAAACTGTTTGTGGCAGGCCTTGGTTAGACAATTACTTGGCAAATTTAGATGACACTCTTAAAGATAGGTTGCCAGGCAACAAAACATACGCACACAGCAGCAATAACTCTAGAAATAATTATTGTAAATTGCTGAAATTCAATAGGCTTTTCTATTTCACTAATTTAAATCATGCATATAAATTTCACAAAGATCGGATGATAATTTTTTGCGTTAGAGCGTTCACAAGGATCAATAAAGTGAAACAAGGGTCATAACTCTAGACGTAATAAACGTAAATTGCTGAAATTCAATAGGCTTCTTCGTATCACTAATCTAAATAATGCATATAATGATAACTTTTGGCTTTGGAGCGTTCACAAGGATCAATAAAGTGAAACAAGGGCCATAACTCAAGACGTATTAAAACAGGAATTGCTGAAATTCAATAGGCCTCTTCAGCAATTTCCGTTTATTACATCTAGAGTTATGGTCCTTTATTGAACCTTGTGAACGCTCTAACTCCAAAAGTTATCATCCGATCTTTCTGAAATTTACATGCATTATTTAATTAGTGAAATGAAGAAGCCTATTGAATTTCAGCAATTTCCGTTTATTACGTCAACGTAGCACATGCGGGAGCGATTTGCACCTGGCATTTGTAAACAAAATTGACAATATTTTTAATAAAAAAAACCAATTGATTATTGTTATTTATAATATTTCTGCCAGACCCAACTACAATTAAGCATATAATCCTACCTGAAACGGGAACAAATCGTCGTTTTTAAAATCGAGGCGTTAAGCCGTTACTAAGACCGCCATCTTTTTAAACGATACGCTGTCATCATGAAGGCAGGGCTAAATATAAGGCTTTTATAACAGCCAATCAAAAGGGCAATCTAAAGCACTGTAACTATGAATGGATTTCGATGGCGGTGAACGTCGGACAAAAACAACACTTCATTAATTTAAATGCAAATATTTGGAGTTAGGCGACAGTTGTGCCACTACATTGGCCTCTGTAAGTTTAATTAATCATAACAGCATAAACTTATCTTATTTTAAAGATGTTACATGCATTAATAAAGAAATTGAGTTTGCCACTTAGAACTAAAGGCATCCAATTGTAGCTAAAAACAAACACATCAGTTTATCTCAACGTTTATAGCTACGTTCTCGTAGCTACTAGTAAGTGCAGGGGGACTGCACCACACAAAATTTACACAAAAACAAATACACGGACAGGACATCATACTCAGGAAAACACAAGCATACAGACAATTCAAAAAAAGTGAATGGATCCGGGGGCTAGCGGTAAGCTACCTAGACAACAGTTGCAACAATGTAGTACTAATTTATATAATCAAGTGTTGAATTGTAATGCTGTAAACAATGTTGATATTAGTGAAGATGTTGTTTTGATTGTAACTGAAAGTTTGTCTATAGAACAGGAAAGGGTTGTTAGTAAATTGCACAAACAATTTGGCCATGCCTCATATGACAAACTGTTATGTTTATTAAAAAGTGCTGGTTTTGTATCAAGCAATATGAAGCACACTTTAATATCTAAAGTTTGTAAGGAATGTCCCATCTGTCAGAACCACAAACGCCCACCTCATAAACCTATTGTTGCCTTTTCATTAGCGTCTAATTTTATTGAAGTTGTATCACTAGATCTTCACCAACTTGACAATAACCTTTGGTATCTTCATATAATAGATGTCTTTAGTAGATCCCAAAGTAATTATTGACAAATTCATACATCTTAGGGGCAGTATTTATGGAGCCCTATCCAAAGGTGTATTCAGTGAGAACGGTGGGGAATTTAATAATGCAGATATTACCGTGAAAACTACAGCAGCCTATAGCCTGTGGTCAAACGGAGTGACGGAAACATTATTAAAAATTAAAGAAGACACATTTTTGTCATGGGAGACTGCCTTATGTTGGGCTGTATCGGCAAAAATTTGTTTAAACAATGTTCACGGACACAGCTCTTAACAAATTGTGTTTGGTCAACACCCCAAGTTGCCATCAGTCTTGACTGACCAGCTGCCAGCTTTAACACCACAACAACCTATGTCAAAGGTGATGCATGAACATTTAAGTGCTCTTTATAAAGCACGCCAAGCTTTTATAAAGACAGAATCATCTGAGAAAATTAAATGTGCCTTACAGAAACAAACTAGACCCACGGGGGGAGAATTTTTAACTGGTGATAATGAGTGGAAGGGCCCAGGATTGGTCATTGGTCAAGATGGAGTAGTGTTTGTCCGTCACAGTGGATTATACGTACGAGTCCATTCCTGTCGATTGCGCAAGGATGACAGGACCACAGACATTGAACCTTCAACTAATGCAGCTGGTGATAGACAACCTGTTAAAGATAGAAAAAGTGAAGCTCGAAAACATGAACATTACAAAATGGCTAGCTATGAAAAAATTCAGTGAAGGCAAGAGTAAGAATGAAGATAGTGCTCATCTTGATGAGACTGAAGAAGACAGAAATGATGAAAACAGAGTGAATCACAAAGAAGACATAAATGACGAAAACAGAGTTAATAATGAAGAAGACAGAAATGACGAAAACAGAGTTAATCATGAAGAAGACAGAAATGGCGAAAACAGAGTTAATCATGAAGAAGACAGAAATGACGAAAACAGAGTGAATCATGACAAAACTAATGAAGTTAGGCCAAAAGAAAGCAGATCAAATTATGATGAAAATGGGAGACATGATGGGCCTTATGATAGAGAGAATCAAAAACAGACAGGCGTCACTGCTAAAGTAAATGTCAAACAAGGACAAACTATTCGTTTTTCATCCTATGAAGATGATGATATAAAAGAGGCTGTGATATTAGGGAGGGCTTCAAGGCATCCGGTAGTAAAAGAAATTGGTTTAATATTAAATTCACGAAACCAGTTGAAATAAAAGATGAAAATGTATCAATAGATTTAGGAAATATAAAAGATTTAAAGATAGTACCTGAAGTAGAGACTGAATGTGTTATGATAAGTGAAGTAAATTTTGATGTCGCTAAACACAAAGAATTAGAATGTTGGAAGAAAGAAAATGTGTACAATGAAGTTGAAGATACAGGACAAAAATGTATTTCGACACGTTGGGTGTGCACCCTGAAGAACATAGATGGTCAGTTTGTTCAAAAAGCACGATTAGTAGCACATGGTTTTAAAGAGGATAACTTGGACGATCTTCAGAAAGACTCCCCTACTTGCTCACGCGAATCACTTAAAGTAATTTTGTCTGTAATCGCACAGAAAAAATGGGCTGTAGTAAAGAGCATAGACATTAAGACTGCCTTCCTACAAGGGAATACAGTGTCAAGAAAAATATAGAGAGAGAGAGAAATGGGGTTTAACGTCCACTCGACACAAACTAGGTCATTTCGGGATTAACATATGGTTTAATTTTATTTACATAATTCGCTTGCGCGTAGGGGTTTTTAGCAGTGGGAGGAAACCGGAGGACCCGGAGAAAACCCACGAGGTTGGACAGGCGACCCTACTCCTTGCCACTTACAACCGGGGATTCGAAACCACGCCAGACCACTCAATGACAGACTGTATGATACAGCGCGCGCACGCTAACCATTCAGCCATCCACGATGTCACAAGTAGACCCTGCTGTGTTTTACTATTATAAGAACGAAACACTTATTGGTTTATTAGCTGTACACATAGATGATTTCTTATGGGCTGGCACATTACTTTTTGAAACCTGTGTAATCAATCATGCCAGGAAGGAATTTCATATTGGTAAAGAAGAATCTTCATCGTTTTAATATGTCGGCCTTCACTTGTCTCAAGAGAATGAAATCATCACTTTATCTCAACATGATTATGTTCAACCCGAGATACACCTTTAATGGAGTCCCAGAAGACGGCTTTACGCGGTAAGGTTGGTCAACTTCTCTGGTTAGCCAACCAAAGTAGGCCTGATATCAGCTTTGATGTTTGAAAGATAGCTACATGTGTCAAAAATGGCACTATTCAAGACATCTATGATTGTAATAAGATTATTAGAAAAGTACAGTCACAAAAAGTTGATCTAAAGTTTCAACATCTTGAATGAAGTCTTCGACTTGTTATATACAGTGATGCTTCATTCGGGAATTTATTGGACGGTAGTAGTCAGGGTGGTCATATTGTCTTACTGTGTGGTGAGAATCAAATATTTAATCCGTTATCTTGGCAGTCAAGAACCAGCAGCTGCCAGGCAGGATACGCCCACATTTTCGAGAGATGGATAGAGAACAAGCTAAAAAGAAAGTGATTTTTCCTACAATCAGGGGCCATAATTCAGGAATTTACGGTCCGATATGCGCGAATATCGAAAGGAACCGAGATCTTTGGGTTATAAACTTACATTTCAAGTTTCAACAAAATTGGATAAAAATTGTGACCTCTATAGGGTCCACAACCTTGATATACCGTATTTTTACGCTATTTGAGAACGAACATCGGCCATTTTGTCTGTCAATTTTGGGCCGATTTTCACGAAATTCGAACTTGGTCGTCCTTAGGGTGTAACGGTGATATAATAATATGTTTTTTTAAATCGGATAAAAATTATGACCTCTATAGGGTCCACAAGCTAAAAATGCGATTTTTTGTACAATCAGGGGCCATAATTCAGGAAGTTACGGTCCGATATTTCGCGAATATCGAAAGGAACCGAGATCTTTGGGTTATAAACTTACATTTCAAGTTTCAACAAAATCGGATAACAATTGTGACCTCTATAGGGTCCACAAGCTAAAAATGTGATTTTTCGTACAAACAGGGGCCATAATCCATGAAGTTTCAACCGATACATGCCAATATCGAAAGCAGCCGAGATCTTTTGGAGATAAACCTATATGTCACGTTTCGTCAAAATCGGATAAGAATTGTGACCTGTAGAGTGTCCACAAACAATTGTGGACGGACGGACAGGGGCGACGACAATATACGTCCTCATGAAAATGTGGGCGTATAAAAAAAAGGAGA